CATCTCCTGTTGAGTTTGTAGGTGTTCAGAATGGTTTGATCCCTATCCAGCTGAATTCCTGAGAGGAGACGAAATCCAGGTCTCCTACTCCTCCAGCATCTTGCTCCGCCTCCCATACAAGCAATTTTAATGTCTTAGCACTTCAAGCTGAGTTTTCTTCAGCTGCAAATCACATTGTTTCTGTTGCCTCAGTTTTTACTGTTTTCTGCCTACTTGCACTTTCCATTATGGTCTCTTCCTTCAAATTCGATCAAACAAATTTCTACATCAGTTGTTGCTCTGTGTTCCCAAGATTACACGCTAAGACAAGCTTCGCATAATGATCACTTGCTATTAACTCTAAATAATATGTAAATACATTACATAGCGTGGAAGAGTAAAAGGGAGGAAGAAAGAAAGAAAGGCAGAGAGGAAGGGGAAAAGGAGAAAGGCAAAAGCGGAGGGGAGGGGAGAGAAGCAGAATACTATTTTTTTTTTTTTCAGTAAATTTATCTTAGCCTTTCATTGACAAAACAACTCAGTGCAAAATCCTTACTACCTTACACATGGTGGCTTTTCATTTAACACAGCCATGATGTAAATGACATCTACGTGTTTTTGGAGATTAATTTGGAGTCTGTAAAACTTAACATTTCAGTTTAAAATTATATTCATACAAGAATGAACATGATGAAAAGATGCCAGTTACATCATTAAATATTAATTCATTTTACTGAAATGAATCCAAATCTGGATTTTTTTTTCCCTTGGAACAGTTAATGAAACTCAGATCCAAACAATCTTTGGGCGATATACAACGGGCTTCATCACTCCTCACCAGAGAGTAGAGAAACTCTTTTGAACTGTAATAATTTAGCTATATGTTAATTTAAGAAATAAAAAAGGAAAATGTTCATACTTGGGCTATTCTGGACACAAATACTGTTATGTCCTTACTGACTATTCAACATGTTTTTTTCACCTTTTTAACACATAGGTCCCTACTAAAAACCAATGTCACTTTATATAAGACATCATAGAAAATCTACAAGTATTGGTTTGAAGTGCACATGGAAACTAGCAGAGAATTTGGCACACATGAAGCACTCATCAAACATTGGTTGAATAAAACTGTAGAAATTGACTTCATGTCAACACCAAAATACTACCTATACTCTTTAATAAACCTTTTGAAATGTACCTGTCTAAAGTCTTTTATTCTCAACAAAAACAAAATTAAAGACAACACGGCTACTTACTCCCCAAATTACCATTTCATTTACCTGGCCAACTAATCTCACCTTGTTGATTAGAATTAGGTGTTGACTAAGAGTACTTCTTACTGCCCTGAAAGGAAAATTGTCAGCAGGACTTGTAAAAATCTTCTCAGACACTCTGCTTTTAATCGTCATGTACACAAATAAATAATTGAACACCCCCATCATTACTGTGCTTTGCTTCTGTTTCAGTTTTCAAATTTAGATCAGTAACACTCATCTTGGGGGTTGCTAATTTGCTTTTAGCACTAGCAGATTAAGTTTAGCTTAGTGCAATATTTAAATAATTGATGGATAATTAGAAAACAAAAACCAGAAACAGTATATACTAATTATAATTTAATTCACATTCACACTTATGAATTTTGAGACATGTCAACAAGGTAATTAAAATAGCAGTTCTTATTTCTCTTTTGGCAATAGATTTCATAATCAAAATCATACAATGAGTATATAGTTACTGAACCGTTAGAAGTAAAAAGAGGTTTCTTTTAGAATGGCGTAATTTAAATAACTTTTTATTGAATGAATCACTAAACTCTGGCATCTATACAAAAACACAGTTCTAAAACAATTGGAGTTAATGTTGGTCACATGGGCCTTAATAATACAGTAACTGCGACATTTCTTATGTTACATGCACTCAACATCCTCGCTATTCAGTTTTGCTCTTTCAGCAATTCAAATGAACAAATATTTATCAGGCACAATTATATATGAGATACATGTTGACTGCTAGAGCACTAAAGATAAACAAGGAAGGATGCAGATCCTGGTCTAATGGAACATACAACCTTGTTAGATGGGGAGGGATAAGATAAATAATTACACAAAAATGTCGAATTCCTAACTGAAAAAAGAGCCATAAGTTAAAACTATAACACACCATGAGATGCTGTTTATACATACTCTTCCACCCTCCTAAATCCTTGGGGTTTTGGCATTGAGTAAAAAGTTATTTTTGTCTAATAAAAAATGCCTTGATCACAGGAAGATGGCCACCTTTTTCTGTTATTGTTAATCAGCCTGTTTGGATCTGGAGTGCTGAGATACTGAGAAACTGAGTTCCTTAGGAAATTTTATCACAGAACTTTATATAAAGGTCTGAAAACTGTACTGTTGTGAAAGTATGGCTTTTTTTTGTTTTGCATTTAAATTTTTTTGCTTTATTTTTCTCTTTTCATTTGAACATTTTTTTTCACTCATCCAAACGGGAAGGGCTGAACCTGATTTTTATGAAATAATTTGCGGTTTGCTTAATATTTGTATTGTGTTTTCCAAGACAAAGACTGTCTCCCAGGTTGATATTTTGATTCAGCTTTAAAAATGACTTCTAATATGTGATTTATTTTTCTTTAATTATTATTGTTGTCTTTTTTTAATCCCATAGAAATGTATTTTGGAATGTAATTTACCTACCAGAAAGTAATTATATAAAACATCTTTTTTTATTGACATATAAAGTTCTATTAGTTTTAGGTATGCTACATAATGATTTGATGTACAGATACATTGTGAAATGAATACTACATTAAGTTATGTAAAATAACTTTGATCCCCAAACCTTAAGTTATTTATTGAGTTAAGAACATCCATTGATCCGTTACTAGATTTTAATATTTCACCTTTTATTAACAGTTTCTGTGATTATCCTGGGAAGAATCCCTATAAAGTTGCCTCATGATTTTCTGGGTAGTGAGGACTGTTACGTACAACTGTGCCTCTTACAAACAGAACAATATCAGGAAGCAGCCTGTTCCATTGGAATGATTAGACTGAGGAGTCCATCGTAGTGCAATTAAACTCTGCCTTTTTCTGATTACTATTTGTATTTCCCTCAACATAACACTCCCTGACCATTTACAGCTTTTTTCCTACTCTCTGCTTCCTCTTTCTTTCTGCCTATGTGTATCATGTGTTTCATTGTCTATGTCAGATTTTCCGGAATCTTGATTTTTATCAATCCTCCTCTAAACTTCCTCTATAACTGTTTTTTCCACACTCTTCCTGCCTGACATATTTATTTTTATATTCATTGTATGTTTATTAGGGGCAAATATATATATATGTTGAGAATAATAACTCACATTTTCTTGGCCTCAGTCAAATACTTGACTATTTACCATGTAGGCAGGGAATGTCAACTTTTTACACATTTTCTATTTTACTTCTTTGGATATCAAGGGCAAATCAACAGTGATGGAAAGTCTGACAGAGCTGGAAGAGCCAGAACTTACCTGAGGTCTTGCGAAGGTTCTGCTCTGATGTGAGGTGTTTCAACAGAGTGCCCGAATACTGCTCCTTCAGTGCCTGGACAGAACAGGAATCCAGTAGTCAGTACAAGCAAGTGGACACACACGTTGGTTTTCATTTCTATTTTTATGCATCAAATATTCATCCAAAAAATGGCACAACTGGAAACAAGAGTACAGACAATGAAGGAGAAAAATTGGGAAAAAAAAAGTGTTCAAGGTAGTGAAAGGCCAAGAAGGGTAAATCTAAATGTCCCTCTGTAGACCACTTTTGAGATGACCTTATTTAGCAAAATTCAGACTGACTGAGGATTTTCACTCTCTGATCAAAGAGCAAAGACCATCTCCTCCTTTCTTGTTTCCCAGGTATATGAATTTGAGGGAGGGATAGGTCATAATACTCGGTTCTATCTTTCTACAAACAGCGAGCATGGATGAAAATGTGGAGAGTGAGCTCTCTTGTAATGTATCATTAATTCTTTAAAGACATAGGTCTCATGGGGCATTTGGCAATTTCCCTACACATAACACCCACCTTTCAGTAGAGAGATTATCCACAGTACCTTACTTTGACCTCGCTGGAACTAAGGCTCTCTCTAAAACCATGAACTGCCCAAAATCATTTCATTACAGTTGACTTCATGTGGGGTCATACTTACCCAAAGAGGTCATACACTCTAACACTTTCCTCAGACAGTTGAATTATATTCTGTCTACACTTTCGTTTATTGACTACATGTGATTTCCAGATTCCCAGAGCCTTTCCATAATTGAACTGAGCTAAATAGAATGACCTTGCTTTTTGGCTTAATCTTCATCAAACATTTTGGTGTAGGAATGTCATGTCTGCTCCATCAATGGCCTCTACACCAGCTTATTAATACAAATTATACAAAATAATGCAAATAATACAAATAATGCAAATAAAAATATAAATTTTAAACCTATAAGATAAAGCTGCCTATGCTTATTGTGAAGAATAATGGGAAATATATTGATCCAATAAGCAAAGAAGACATTTTCACTAGAAAACTAGAGCTAACACTTAAATTCGTTAAAAATATGTTGTTTTATAAGAAAATATACTAAAATCACCAAATGACTCCTCCACATCAAACAGCAATGCAGACCTTGATCTTGAATCAGAGAGGAAGAGATTTTTTTCAAAGACTGTAACATGGTTTCATCTCTCTTATGGTTCTAAGGGTAAATTTATAAGGTTCTGCAGCAGTAAATTCCTAAGATTACAGACCTCAGTTTATAAGTTAAAAGCTATTGGCATTTGCTGACCTCTCACTGGGTTTTAGTAGTTGTTGAGGTTTGGTTTTATTTTTTTTCTAAAGAGACTTTGTAAGGCCTATAATATATAGACAGACTATCAGAGCAATTATTTCTTTATGGCGTTTGCTCTTTTGATATTTTGTAAGATATTTTATTTCTGTGAGTGGAAAATTTTTAGAGATAAATCTTTGGAAGTAAAGTAACGGTTTTAGATAAAACCCTCATTTTGTGGTTGTGGTGGTGGTGGGGCATTTGAGACAATATTCCAAGGTATAAATTTTCATATCTCAAGGAAAGACTCTTTTAGCATTTTAAAAGAAGATATAACTCCTAGAAAGAATAGTTATCCATGTGCAAAGTTTAAAAATTAATTTCCACTATTCTGTGACTTTGAAAATGTCCCACACAAGATGACAGAAATATAATTAAAGAGCAGCCGCAATACTTATTTTCAAACATGGAATGGCACAGATATAACTCCACACAGAATATATCAGTGAAAGTAAAAGGGGAATGCTATCAAAGGTTTAATTTTCCAATGAGGATTAAAAACTGATAGAGGTCTTTAAATATCAGTTTAGAAAATGTTTGAGGATTAAAACAAAACAAAAAAAACCCCCACAATTCTTGAAGAAATAATGTGTAATCATATCTCCAAAGGGGCTAACTTGGAAACTGAATAAAATAACATAAATAATTAATTAACTACAAATCTCCAGATAATGAGAAAATTACTCTCATCCTCTCCATTATTGTCCTAGAATGAGCAAAGGGGTAATAATTAATAAGCAATAATGATAATCTTAAAAGGAAATCAGTGAGGGGAAAATAAAAGCCATCTGAAGCAGGCACATACTCTCACAGTATAAAAAATCAAAATTAAAATACATATTTCCTTCGAATTGGGAACTTTTACAAATGTCAGATGATTAGTACGGTTGCCAGACTGTGCAATTAAAAATACAGGACACCAAATTACCTTTGAATTTCAGGTAAATATGAAAAAAATATTCAATATAAGTAAGCGATATTTTCAGGGGACATACTTATAGTAAAAATGGTATGGTGTTTATCTGAAATTCAAAATTGAATCACTATATTGTACACCTGAAACTAATGTTACACTACAGGTTAACTAACTGGAATTTAAAGAAAAAATAAAAAATAAAACACATATTTTTAAAATAAATAAATTGTAACCTATTCCCCCCGAAAAAAAAATTAACTGGGTATCATGTATTATACCTGCTACCCTACCCATCAGCCAACATTTGGTACAAAGAATACAGATGTGATTTACTCTTAGTTCAGGAAAAGAAAGAATGTGTGATGAATTTCATATCTTAAGTTATAAAACCACAGAAACTGAAAAGGAAGAGGGACAGAAAAAGGACAAGAAGGTACACAACACAGACATTTATTTATATATATATATATTTAAACTTGTTGATTAAATAAGCATTTGTTGTTTATTGTTATTTTAAGGGGCCATTCAAAGGGATACAACGTTCAAATGTTTGCTTGTATAGATGCTGAAGGGTATTTCAGATAATTTGAGGTGATGACATTCTTTAAAGACTTTGGGAAAACATAGACTGTTGACTATCGCAATGGTCAGGAAAGATGAGACAAGCAAACTTTAGGGTCAAAAAAGACTAGGTGTCATTTATATGATAAATCTGGCTGCAAAACACAGTAAGAAGGATGGCATATTCCGCTTTGCTGGAGAGGAGAAAGAGTATATGTGGATTGTGATCCTACTTTACATTTAAAGACAGTTTAAGAAGTAAGTTTAAGACATATGTATATACTATGCACTTTGAAGTTAGCAGACGGGAGGAGACAACCCCAGCTCCTTCATTCTTACCTAAATGACTTGAGCAAGTTATTTAATCTGTCCAAACTTCAATTTCCATAGATATTGATAAAGATAGAAATGCCAACCTTACAGGTTGGGTCAGGTTTTTCTTAAACAGGATATAAATGTGCCTGGTTCAATGTAAGAATTCGGTATTCCTTAATTCACTCTCTCTGCCACTTTTCTTTACGAACATCACCACAGAAGAGGTACTCATTGTGTTTGCAGAATTAAGGGTCCAACATGGGTTCACTCATCAATACGTGAAATCTCTATTCCCAAAATGCCAGCTTCAAGTAACACGGTCTCATGCTGAATTCTGAAATCTGAAATTTAGACATTGTAAAGAGATTCTTAAATGTTAGATAGTAAGTGCATTTTATTAATCAAGACTCTATTCAGTAATCAAGGAATTCCCTAATGCAGGTGCCTAGGTACCAGATAAGATAGATTAATGCCCAAATAAGCTCTGAGAAAGAAGTTTCTTCTAAAGAAAAAATTGTGTCCAGGACGATCTTCCTTTCAATTGAACTTTATCCTGATGTTTAAAAAATTGTGGAAAAATGAAAACAAAAATGCATAGTAGACCCTGTACTACCTACAATAGGTGGTTGTGATTTTTCTATTTTATACTTATTAGCTCTCTGTGCAGGATATCCTGGGAATTCATCATCCAAGCAACTGGAGTAGGTGAAACAGGCATTAACTCCCCCAGGGTTTTAGCTTCCTTTTAAAAGTCAAAGGAAAAGTTAAGGAAAGAGTAGTATAGGACGCCATTCCTTAGAATATTTCTCTTCCTTTCTTTCTTTTTTTTTTTAAGCCTTTATTTATTTCAGAGGTAGAGAAAGAGAAAGACAGAGAGAGAGAGAGCACAAGGAGGGGGAGAAGCAGGCAGAGAGGGACAAGCAGACTCCCCACTGAGCAGGGAGCCCTACCTGGGGGTTCGATCCCAGGACCCTGAGATCATGACCTGAGCCAAAACCAAGAGTCGGACACTTAACCAACCGAAGCACCCAGGTGCCCCAGAATATTTCTCTTCTTAATGAGAAACCTCAGGCATTCAATTTATAAGAATTCCAAGCTAGCAATTAGTTCTCAGAACTTAGAGGGGGAGGAATCAGTCATGATAAAAGCACCACCTCCAATAACCAGTCCATGGGAACTTTAGGAGACTTAAATCATCAAAAAATTTAATAAACTTGAGGCAGCACTTCAAATTCCTCCACTGGAATAGGGCTGAAGCCCTGGATGAATTCATCTAGGTCTCAGAGGCAAAAATATTTCTTTTTATTCATTATCTTCAAGTTTGATCCTGTGCTGTGGAATGTACACAATTTCTTCGGTTAATTACTTTGAAAGGCTCTTTAAAAATTGTAAAATCTTTTTTTTTAATTGTATTTGAGATCAGGGCCTTTTTCACTCTGTAGTGACACTTCCTAGCCCATTATGTAGTGTAAGATAGGCATTCATTAATATGTCTCTCTGAAGCTGTGGGAAGTGACATGAAGAACATAGCAGCACGTGCGGGCCCAGAAGAGACTGGGCTTCCCCGGGGTCTCCATTATCAGCAGATCCAAGGGGCTTCGGAAGAGAAGGCTAAGGCCTGGCATGGAATGTCTTTTGTTCTGGAGAGTCAGAAGAAAAGAGAGAAAAGCCAGATGGGAGGGGAACAAAGGAATCAGGAAAGGGTGGGACCCTCACCCTGTGGGACAGAGGCTAGAGAGAAATAGAAACATTTAAATTCTATTTTTTAGGTCACTTGTCTTGATGTTTGCCAAATGGGCTCTCCTGCTGCCATCAGTTTTTCAATAAAATCTACCATGATCATTTATATGTTTTGAGGTTTTTATGTAGTAGTAGTAGTATTTTGGAGGGGACCAAGAAGGGAATGAGTTTTACATGCAGATCAATATAGGACA